TAAAACATCTGGCAAGATGTTGAAAGAGACTTTCAGAAAATACATTGTATGTAGTAATGATTCCATTTTTAGCAAAACAAAAACAACAGGTGAGAAAAATGCAGGAGACAGATATAGATAGCAAAAATCTTAAATGCTATGTACCAGATTGACTAAGAGATTAGAAACTTCTACGGCTTGGTAGTTCTTGATTTATTTATTTGTTTTATGATGGACACATTTGTATTAGCTTCCCAGTGGTGGGACGGAATAGCCGCACTCAAAACTTAAAGGAGGAGGAGTTTATTTTGGCTCATAGTCTCAGAGGATTCAGTCCGTGATCTGGAGGCGTCAAGGCCGGAGTTCATGGCAGAGAAAAGCTGCTCACTTCCTGGCAGGAAGGAAGCAGAGGTTGGAAAGAGCCCGGGAAGAAACACACCCTTTCCAAGGCAGCCATCAGGGACCTCCCTCCCGCAGCAGAAGTGCCACTCTAGCCGCCCCTTTCACTAGCGGACGGTTCGCCTCTTGAGACCGGGTCACCTCTGTAGTCCCCACCCCTGAATATTGCTGCGTTGGGGGGTCAAATCCTCAATACAAACGTCTTTGAGGGGCACTTCATATTTACCCCATAACAACATATTAGTTTTTAAAACATAAAAACTTTATTTCATCCTTTCCTCGACTCAATTGTCTTGCTCACCAATTTTTTTTTTTTTTGTACCAGGGATCAAACTTGGGTTCTTGTGCTTGCGAGGCAGACATGGAACCACTAAGCTAAATCCCTGACCCTTGCTCACCAATTCCTACAGAGGAGTCTTTACTGCTTTAAAACACAAATAAACAGCCTGGGGATTTAGCTCCGTGGTTCCGCTGCCTTCCTTGCAAGCACAAGGTCCCAAGTTGATCCCCTGTACTAAAACAAAACAAACAAACAAAAAACAGCTTTAAAGCAGTGCTGTCAATTTCTTTGACTGTTCCAGTGTCCCATCACTATCCTTACAATGCTTGTAAACCCAGCCTCTCAGTGCACAGCTTGCCAGACCAGATCCTAAGCTTCTGCCGAATATTAACCCTTTAGGTCCTTGTAACTGCCCTATTAGTAGCTCATCTGCAACTGAAGGAATGAGGCAGGAGATTAAGAATCCCTCCCGCCTTGCAGACCCAGTGCTTATCTAATTCAAGTAACGAACAAGCGCTGTGCTCTGGAGTGACATTGCTCCTTCCATACCTGTTCTCTCTGGGCTTCCATTTCCAGTCCTTTGCCTGGGAAATACTAACAGATGTTGTGCTGTGCTTGGGTGTTATAGGGATCTGAGCCCGAATTTGACCCCTTAAGGGGCTTACATTCTAACTAGAGAAATAAAGTATAATTTAAAAAAATCCTTAAAGAATTTTTTTGCAGTGCTAGGCTCAAACCCAGGGCCTCACACAGGCTGGGCAAGCACTGTACCATGAGGTGCATCCCCAGCCGGGGATGCCATTGAACACTGGCAAAGACCTGGCCGTCCTGCATGGCCAGCTGCGTGGGGCGTGAGATCTGCTCTGCCCAGACCAGGATGGGCCTGGGAAACTGGGGAGCTGCCAGGGAGCCAGGAGGCTCTACAGGGCAGACATGAGCAGACCCCTGCAAAATACAGTTCCGTTTCTGCAAGAAAGATTAAAAAGCTACTTCTGTATACTTTTCAAATCTGACCACATGTTAGCGTTTGAGAATATAACATCAGCTCCTTTTTGTCTTCAATAGGAAAGTGTCAGAGGATTAAGAATATTCGTTATTATCCCAAGGCCAGGAAGGAAGGATGGGAGGGAGGGAGGAAGGAAGGAAATGTAGTCCATAACTTTTTTTTTTCCTGAATACATCCTCAAACATTTAAAAACCTAGCTCACATATGTTTTAAAGGACAACACAAAGAAAAACATAATACGGCAGCTAAGATATATGGAGAAAGATATATGGATAAACTAATGTGAGCAGAGGATTCTAGAGTAGGAAACAGCAAGCTTGATCTGTGTGGGGGGAGAGTAACTATTCAATTCCTGATTCTCATCCTAGTGGGAAAGCAGCCACGGAAAGCACAGAAAGGAATGTACAGGCTGTGTTTTGATAAAACTTTATTTACAAAAACAGGCAGAGGCATGATTTACCAGTCTCCTCTGGAAGAAAATGTGAGAAAGGAAGGTGGCACCTTGAATGCCAGTCCGAAGAAACTTTTCTTCATTTCCTCAGTGACAGGATCTCAAAAACAGCATTTTTACTTTTTGGAGAACCCAGCTCAAGTATGTAACACTCTTTTCATCTTCAGGTTCTTCCCAAGTTACCATAAAAAGCTGCCAAGAAAACTAAGCCATGCATGTCTCCAGGCACGTGGCTGATAAAATAAAGCAGTAGGATTCACTCCCTGGTACCTTAAGAATTTTTGCTTGTGGCCCATTAGTCCTTTGGGCGGAGAGGGAAACAGCAATTTCCCCTGGGGAAAGTACAAGCCACTGAGCACTGCAGGGAAGTGAATGGCAGGGCCTGCACCTTGAGGGGTTGACCAGAAACCTGAGCAGAATTAGCAGAGTGTTCTGTCAGGATCATTCTACCCAGATACACACAGGAACAGTTTGAATGCTGCTGAGAATCCAAAGTCAACAGGGTGGCTAGGATGAGCAAATAAGAATTCAAAACATCTAGGCCCAGGGGTTTAGCTCAGCGGCACAGCACCTTGTCTGGCAAATGTGAAGTCCTGAGTTTGATCCCGAGCACCAAAAAAAATAGTAACAACTACAACAAAACACCCCAAGATTTCAGTCATCAAGTTAAATTGGAATTTCAGATAAACAACCAGAAATTTAGTATACATGTGTACCATTCAACTGGGTATGGTGAGACATGCCTGTAATATCAGCCCGAGAGAGGCTGAGGCAGGAGGATTGCAAGTTGGAGGCCAGCCTGAGCAATTTAGCAAGATCCTGTCTCAAAATTAAAACTTTGATACCAGGCATCACACATCTGTAATCCCAGAACTTGAAAGGTTGCAGCACTTGAAAATTTGAGGCCAGCCAGGATTACACAGTAAGTTCAAGGCCAGCCTGAGCCACATAGTGAGACCTTGTCTCCAAAAACCAAAACCAAAAAAATAAAAATTTAAAAAGGACCGGGAAGTTCATTGCAAAGACCCTGAGTTCAATTCCCGAGTACCGTGCACAAAACAAAAAGTATATTCTGTACCATTCAAAATTTGGGCTGGACACAGTGGTTCATACCTGTGGTCTCGCCGACAAAAGAGGTTGAGGCAGGAGGACTGCTTGAGCTTAGCAGTTCGAGACTACCTTAAGCAACATAATGAGACCCTGCCGCAAAAGAATAGTAATATTTGGGGCCGGGGATTTGGCTCAGTGGTTCTGCCGTCTACCTCGCAAGCACAAGGGCCTGAGTTTGATTCCCCAGTACCCCGCCAAATAAGTAATATTTGGGACATATTACACTAAAGATTTATTTTTTTTATTTGCAAACTTAACCGAGCATCTTGTATTTTATCTAGCAACCCAAAAATGAAGATAAAGGATTAAAGTTTTTTCTACTGTATGTTGTATCTACATGTCAGTAGATCACTAATTCTTCACTAAAATCTAGAGATGGGTGCCTCCTTCATTCCAGCCCAATTCAGACTTGGGTCTTTATGCAGGGTCTTTATGCATTGAAGTGCACTGTATTCTCTGCATGAATTCAGTGAGCTCATTGTCACCGCTAGCGCAAACAAAACTGCCAGAACTGTTATCTCCTGGGAGAGGACAGAGTGTAATTACTGCATAAGCAGAGGCTGTGGGCACTGAGACTGTGCTTCTCATTTAATAATTACAGATCGTTCCCAGTCATTCATTAACTTGAGACTGCTCTGCAAACGGGAAAGGGTCGGAGAGACCAAGGGCCAGCGGTCGGGGGGAGCGGAAGGGGCAGTAGGTAGAATAAAGATAAGCCATGTCCAGGAACCTAATGGTCTCTGTGAATGCAAATGTCATGTGCCAGAAACATGAGCTAAGGTTAATACTATCAACAGAGTGAGAATGGGGAGCAGGGTTAGAGGAGAAGAGCGAAGGGAGGGGAAGATTTTCTAAAAAGAAGCAAGTTGTATCAAGTGCATGTACGCATGCTCCAAGAGGCTGCAAAGTGTGTCCTGCAATCGTGTATTAATGAAAAACAACAAAGTAAGACTTCCCCAGGCTGAGTCGGGGCGGCCACTCGGTCCCATGGCCAGCTCGTAGTGTGCTCATGTCCTCCCTTCCTTGTCCAGTGTGCTGGGCGGGCAACAGGTGCGACCTTGGTCCTGTAAGAAGGTCACAGCCTGGGCGTGCAGTAGCTGTGCACAACCCGAATCTGCCCCACGGCAAACAGCCTGACGCACATCTCCCTTCCCGCCCTCAGTGTTGTGACGTGTGACTACATGTGTAACCCCCCCCACACACACACACAGTTGGCAAATCCCATATGCCACTGAAGAGATCAGTGTTGGCCTGAGTGGAGACCAACCATGGCTGTCACCGATGATCACCTAGTGTGGGACCAAAGTAGGCAGGCAGGTAGGATTGCAGAGGCTGGCACCCTCCACACCACGTGCCTACGGGGCGTCAGAAGGACCCTTGAGAGCCACCAGGGGATTCCGGACAGCCTGGGGACAGGACCCACACGCGTGCCAAGCAGGCGCTGTGCTACTGAACTCAACCGGCCCGGGCACCTCCAAGGGAAGTCAGATACCAGCGGCTGCACACAGAACGCCTGGTGCTCAGGTTGGAGCCACACTTAGGTCACACTGTCCTTGGTTCCCACCTGCAGCTGTTTGCTTCCCTTTCCTCCACCAGAGTGGGACAAGCGCTCTGAGGAGATATGGCCAAGTCCTCTTCCCTGAGCCCATCTCACCCAGCTCTCTGGCGGGATTTGGGATTTCCCAGCCGGCACCCTGGCTCCGCAGGGCCCGCAGAGCCAAGCACGCGGAGCAGGGAGCCCGGCTGACCCTTCCTGTGTTTCTCTTCTCACACAGCACCCTGGAGGGCTACTATGTGGACGACGCCCTGCAGGGCCAGGGCATCTACACGTACGAGGACGGCGGCATCCTCCAGGGCATCTACGTGGACGGGGAGCTGAATGGGCCAGCGCAGGAGTACGACTCGGACGGGAGGCTGATCTTCAAGGGGCAGTACAAGGATAACATCCGGCACGGAGTGTGCTGGATCTATTACCCAGTAAGCCTATGATGGTTCACCGTGGGGAAGAAACATGTCCTAGGACAAGGCTTTCATTCCTTGTCTAAAGAGTAATGTAAAATGTAAGCTGGGCCTGGTGGCACACACCTGTAGTCCCAGCAGTCTGGGGAGGCTGAGGCAGGAGGGTCACAAGTTCAATCCCGGCCTGAAAACTCAGGGACTTACAAAGACCCTGTCTTGATAAAAAGGACTGGGATATGTCCAGTTCAGTTCAAGGCCCTGGGTTCACACCCCAGGAATTATCAGACATCTGGGGAAAGAAGAATAATCACGATTGGGACAAAATGGTTTTAACATACCAGTAATAAAGTCAAAATATATTGCTGTTGATTCCTTTAGCATATAGAAAAAAGAGGAGGAGAGCAGTGTTGCTGTTAATTTTATTCTGTTTTTCACTTGTAAGATTGAAGTCAGCAATATTTTATCTTTTGGGGGGGTTACTACACCATTGTTGCTTGATTTTACAATCTCACTAATTTTCAAGAAATTTTATAGTTTATATTGCTTAAATTCAGGTGATTTAAATGAACTTGCTCTTGAGTATTTGAAAACAGTGTTTCTGCAGTTTATTTAGATCAAATGGACACAGCAAAACCCACGGTTGGGAATTAATGTTTTTTTTTTTTTTTTTTTTTTTTTTTTTTTTTTTTTTTTTTTTTTTTTTGCATTTCAAGTATCCCATGTGTTGTTGAATTTCCGAAAATGTTTCAGAAAAAAGATCTTAGGAAATATTTTATTTAACATTTTATCATGACCATAATTTAAAATCTATTTTTGCTTACTTGAAACCTACCTTCTTATGATAAAAATATTAATAAAAACAAATTATTACATGTGTAATAAGAAAAGTAGCCTTTGCTAAATTCATACAAAATTGTTATGAAAAATTAATTTATCTGGATATGGTGACACACACCTGTAGTCCCATTACTCAGGAGGCTGAGGCAGGAGGATCACTTAGGGCCAGAAGTTCAAGGCTAGCTTGAGTGACATAGCAAGTCTCTTAGAAAGGGAGGGAGGAAGTATGTTAGTTACACTGTAGGAAAAGAACACTGTAAAATATTTCCTGGAGAATCGGGAGTTTCTGGGTACATCTGTGACCTGTCAAAGTCATGGAGTTTACTGCCCCAAAGTAGGCAAACAAGATAGGAAGGAAAGAGGTACTTGCAGTTTAGGGTAGCTGGGACCCAACTTCCTGAGCAGCCAGGCTGAGTATCCTGCTGCCCAGGCCGGCAGCCCAGGGAACGTGGGCGTCAGGGTGGGGGAGAGGCCGCTAGGACACCGCACTTCTCTCTCTCCCCGTCGTTTTATTCGTGACTGGGATCGACTTGAATCCCAAAACGAGACCAAAGTTGCACAAAGACTGGTGTGTGGATTCGCCTCACTCCATGCAGCTCCATTTTGAAACCTAAAAAAACAGCTACATTTTAACTCACGGCCCTGATTATCATCTTGTTAATGCCCAGAGGAGTTTCTGCCTCAGAAAGGAGCTTGTGGGCAGTTACAGTCTCCAACACTGGTCCATGGTGTCTGCTTTGAGTATGGGTCTGTAGGCATTTGAGGCGGTGATCCCACCCCTCTCTCTGGACTCTGAATCAGTTAAGACACAGGAGTCAGGGATCGAGTTGGTGCTTCTTAATGTGGCAGAGTTGGATTGGAGGTGTGGCCTGGACCAAGAGCCAGAATGAGCTTCTGCTGGTCCCTGGACCTGAACAGAAGGACCGCTCCACGTAGACACGAGGAACCAGGCCAGCAGCCGCGGGCACGGCCAGGTCCCAGGACCCAGGAGAGGGCGAGCAAAAAATGAAGCAAGACACCATGCAGCAGCCCTTGTCCTGTTAATGTCCCCCGATACAGAGTGGGGTGTCAGGTCTGCCTTCTCACAAATCACGCGAATGACTCCTCCTGCCACCAGGGGGAGCCTCCGAACACATTTATCTCAGCTGTTCTTGCCACTTTCTGCAGCCGTTCTAGAAGTTATATTTCCTGAGTGTCTTTACAAGGTGTGATCATCAGTACCACGAATGCCGCTGCTGAGCACCGTCTAACAGAAAGGCAGGCTCCCAAGAGCATCAAGGGATGTCGTCATCCACCTTACTCACCGAAACTGGCACTGTGTGACTGCTGGTTCTTCCCCAAAGTCAAAATGACCTTGAAAGGTAAATGAGTCGATTCGGGATACCAAGGCAGCCACCACACAACAGCACAACGAAAGACACGAAAGAAGACTTCAGACCTGCTTCAGCAAGTGGCAAGAACGGTGGGGAAAATGTGTTGGCAGCGAGGGGAGCATCTAGAGCGGGATTAATGTCTTTTATTGGACTAATGTTTTTTAATTTAGGCATTCACTGTAGTCTTATTTCATACCTCATGTGTATCCTATTCTTACTCTTGTCAGAAGCTGGTGGTTCTTAAACTATTATTATCGCCACTAACAGTGCTATTAATAGTGATTGTGCAGGAGAGAAAGATCTTGAACTCAGACCCCATAGATAAATGCTATATATAATATTTTCTGGGTTTTGGTTTCTCCCATCAGGATGGAGGCAGCCTTGTAGGAGAAGTCAACGAAGAGGGCGAGATGACGGGAGAGAAGATAGCCTACATGTACCCTGATGGGAAAACCGCACTCTACGGGAAATTCATTGACGGAGAGATGACCGAAGGCAAACTGGCCACCCTGATGGCCACGGAGGAAGGGAGGCCTCAGTTTGAGCTGGTGCCCGGAAGTAAGTTGAGTCAGCTTCCACCGGGGGAGGGTGGTAAAGGCTCTTTTCTTGTCTGTCTGGCTCTCTGGTGGTGTATTAGTCAGCTTTGCCGAAGATAGCACAACCCACCGATGATTTACAGCACAATGCAGAGCTGCCCACCGCACTCTAGGTGGCCTTGGGGTGTGGGGCTGCACTGGAGTCTCAGCGATGGAGCTGAGACTGAGGACGGTGTCGACTCGGGACAGGATTTTCTCCAGGTGCACACGAAGGTGTCGGAGCATTGCTGTCCACTGCAGTATTCCGCAAAGCCACCCCTTAGAGCTGATACAATGCCTTTCATTGGCCAAAGCAAATCACAGAGCCAAGTCAGACATGAGTGAGAGAGAGGAAAGAGCTCAGACTGAATGTTAGTGGGAGATACTGAAAGGCAGGTGACAGCAGACATAGATAATTCTAATACAGGGCTGGGGATTTGGCTCAGTGGTTCCGCTGCCTTCCTTGCAAGCACAAGGTCCTGAGTTCGATCCCTGGTTCTAAAAAATAAACAAATAAGAACCAAATCATGTCAATCTCCAAGGCTGTCCACACTGTCGAGCTGGTCTGGCCCGAGCTCTGACCGGGCAGATAAATGCACTATGGTCACCCACCCTCCCTGAGAGCCCAGCCTCTCAAATAGAGCACACGCTCAGCTCAGGCCTGCAGTCAACAGAATCCTTATTTAAAAATATGTACTTCTGTTTAGGTTTTTGTTTTGTTTTGTTTTTTGAGACAGGTTCTCACTATGTAGTGAGACTGACCTTGAACGCACTATGTAGCCCAGGCTGGTCTCGAACTCACAGCGATCCTCCTGCCTCAGCCTCCCAAGTGCTGGGATTACAGGCATGCACCACCACACCTGACCTCATACTTCTGTTTAGAAGCACAACATGTCACACTAAAACATTTTTTTTCTGGGTATAAAATTATTTTAGCCAGGCACAGTGGGGTACATTCAAAGCTCCAGCCGGGCATGGTGGCGCACGCCTGTAATCCCAGCACTCGAGAGGCTGAGGCAGGAGCATTGCTGTGAGTTCGAGACCAGCCTGGGCTGCATAGTGAGTTCC